TACTGAGATTATAGATGTGTGCCACCGCCCGCTGCTTGAAGGTCTTTAAATAGGATCAGTACAGCCTTTTTTGAGGGACTTACAGTTTTGCGTTAACTTAGCCCTCTGCTCTTAAAAATTTACTGTGTCAAGCTAATTATAAATACATAAAAGAATGATTCCTTAGTTACTCTTTTTTTTATTTTTTACTCTTTAATTCAATAATTATTTATTGAGTGCGTACTACATGCTTGAGCAATAGTAAACAAAGTCCCTCATCTCACAGAATTTTATTCTAGCGGGGGAGGACAGATAACAAAAAGCATCCTGTTATCAAATCTCACAGGCAGCTTGGTATCCACAGTTTATTGGACCTCTCAGTCCTTTCCTTCCAGGGATACTTTCTTCACTTGGTTTCTTGGGCACACATTGTCTAAGCTGCTTATCTCTCTCAGCACCCTTTGTTGAATCATCTTCATCTCCCTGACTTTAAATGGTGCCATTAAGTGACCCCCTCACCTCTATATGCCAATGATCTAAATTTATATTTGCAGTCCTCATCACTCCTGTGAGTTCCAGGCTTTTAAATCCCACTGCCTACTCTTCATCTCCACTTGGATATCTAATAGGCTCCCCAAACTTAACTTAATCATCAAAATCAAACTCTTGGTTTTCTTCCCCAAGATACTTTTACATGAGATTTTCCCTTTTCATTTAATGGCAACTTCATTCTTCTAATGACTTAGTAAAAATCTTGGACTCATTCTTGACTTCTTTCTTTCATGTGCTATATATCTCATCCATCAGATTTAGCTTTGAAGATGTCCATCACAGTACTGTTATAAAAATGAAAACCTGGAAATGATCTAATTGTTAACCATCAAATAGAATGGTTACATTATGATACAAGGAGGTATTGAAAATGCTGTTGTAAACCTGGCTTGAGGCTGAGGCAGTAGAATTACAAGTTCAAATCTTGCCTGGTGAACTTAGTAAGAACTTGTCTTAAAATTGAAATAAATAAATAAATCTATTTTTAAAGAATGTTTTGGATATAGCTCAGTGCAAAGACCTTGGGTTCAATCTCTACTGTACCAAAGAAAAAGTTATAATCACTAGTTATCAGGGAAAGGAAAAATAAAACCACTATGAGATATTACCTCTTACTCATAGGGATGGCTATTATAAAAAAGACAAGAGATAACAAATGTTGATAACAACTTTTAGGGCACAAGAGGTAGAAACTCAAGTACATCATTAGTGGAAATATAGATTGGTACATCCATTGTGGAATGATAGGCTAGAGGCTCCTAAAGAAATTAAAAACAACACTGCCATGTAATCCTGCAATTTTTATTCTGGACATACTATCAAGTACATTCACTGCAGTATTATTCACAATAGCCAATAAATGGAAATGTCTGTCAGTGAATCAATGTGTAAAGAAAATATGGTATATTTATACAGTGGAATGTTACCAGCCCTTAAAAGGAGGAGATCCTGCCATTTTCCACAAAGCAGATAAACCTGGAGGACATTAGGCTAAGTGAAACAAGTCAGGCATAGATAGAAAAATATTACAGGATCTCACATATAAAGGAGCTCAAATGCACAGTGATACAGAATGAAATACTGGTTACTGCTGGTACAGAAGAGAGAAAAGGGGTATGGGGAGTCAAAAGATATAAAACAGCAGGCGTGGGATGATCTAATGTCTAAAGTGAGGAGTAATTTAATAAGATTATATTGCATAAGATATATTTTATTAAATAAGTTTGGTATGCCTTCCTCACCTGGGTTTTGATTTCTGCATTTTTGGTTACCTGAAGTCCGCTTCAATCCAAAAATATTAAATGGAAAATTCCAGAAAGAAACAGTTCTGAAGTTTTCCATTCTATGCTGTTTTGGTGGTATGATGAAATTTTGTGCATTTTTACTTGGGACAGGAATCATCTCTTTGTTCAGTGTATCCTCATGGTATATGCTACCTGCCCATTAGCCACTCAGTAGCTGTCTCAGTGGTCATGGTATTTCAGTGATCATATATAGGGTCTGGTACTATCCACAGTTTCAAGCATCCGGGGATGGTCATTGGTTGTTAGTGGTGGAGTTGGGGGTGGGATTATTTTAGTTTTGATTAGTCTTGTTTCATGCCAAACAGGAACTATGTGAGATTATAGACATGTTAATCTCCTTCATTACAGTAACCATTGGACTACCTATGTTCCATAACATGTTGTAAACCCTTAATATAAACAATAAAATGATGTTGTAGCTCATGGGTTGTTGTTTGATTTTTATTATGGGCAATTTCATACATGTTTAATAATAGAGAGCTGTGAATTCATCACCCAGCTATAGCAATGATCAACTCACAGCCACTCTTGCTCCATTTATAGGCCTGCTTTCCTCCCACCTCTCCACAGGATGGCGATGACCATGATAATGATGATTTTTACTGTGAGGGATTGAACCCAGAGTCTCAAGTGTGCTAGGCAAGCACTCTACTACTGAGTTATATCCCCAGCCTGTCCTTCACGATTATTTTAAAGTGCATATCAGACATCATAGTTCTTAATATATCAAATATATACCATATTATTTTACAAAAACAGATTAGAAAGAAATGTGCATCATACAATCTCATTGTGATAAACAATACATGCATAGGGAAAAGTCTGACAGGATAGTTATCTCTGAATCATAATATTATGAGTGACTGTGGATCTCTTCCTTTGCTTGTGTATATTTCCCACAGTGAACATGCATTACATGGAGAAAAGATGGTGGCAGGTGGGAGAAAATGTTTATGCTGACACTCCAGCTATATTTCTCTTGTAAATGTCCTTACTTTAGGCTGGGTATTTCACATGGCAGAACAGAAATAACCACTCAACAAAGATGAGGATCCCTTCTATCAGTCTCTGTTTTCTCCTTTGACATTTCATCATGTAAAATGGCCATATCAGCATCTATCTTTACAGCATGGCTTCTCATCCTGGGCTGGATCATTCTTTATTGTGGAAGCCTATCCTTTTCATGGGAGGATGTGCAAGTAGCATCCCCCATTTTTACCCACTAATACCAGTAACATGCTTGCCTATTGCTGTAACAACCAAAAATGTCCTCAGACAACATTGCCAAATGTTTCCTGAGAGGCAAAATACCCATAGTGTGCAAGTTGAGATGCATGGTGTCTAGGAGGCTAGCAGGACAAATGTCCTATTTCATTCATTTTGCTGGCTGAAACCTCAAGGAGGATGTAATTTGTGATCTGATGAAAGCTGCTATTGTGGTTTACTGACCTGCAGGTTTAATTAACCAACCTATGACACAGCAGTTAATGATTCTCTGCATTTTTGAGACATATCCAGAAATGACCAAGACAAGTTCAACTCTATGAGAAAGGCAAAGGTCAGGAATGAAAGATTGCTTGTCAGCTATGACAGTGATTGGTTAGATTTGCCCCTTCAGCTTACCAACAGATCCATTTCACTATTCATCACCCAGACACAGGGAAATATTGTGTGGAAGTTAAAAATGGGAGATTTCTTCTTAGAAAATGAATTATGCTGCATACATATAAATAGGTCTTTTTGATCAGTAATAAACACACAGACATAGTGGCAAAAGATAGAGGAAAGGGCTTTTAAATATTGTTTAATTTGGAGTTTTTTCGTAATGGAAAAATCTTATTAGAGAACTACAGAAATGAGCTAAGGGAGAATCTGAGGTCGTCTTGCCCATTCTCTTCCAGAGCTACACTGTTCTGCATGTATGTCCCACCCCTGCCCTACCCTCCACCCCCAGGAGAGTCTTATCAATACCCCCATTTTAATCAGACAGGATATTCCTCATGTTTCCTCTGCAGAGTGAAAACCAACAGATGTGCAGAGGGGATACAACAGTGGCACTACAATCTTGGAAGGATTACTTTAGTTAGTGACACTGTGTTGCTTGCACGGAAAATAAAACTAGCAAATTCTACATCAGAAGTTGCTGATTCAGGTTTATTAAGCATTGTACAAATTATGTCTTAAATTGTATTACATAATTAAACAACTTAATAGAATGTATTTATGGAGGTTTAAGTCTTAACGGTTATTTTCTTGAAATTGTTGGGTACTCCTAATTTTAAAGAATACTGTGTACTACAGTTATAAATCTCCATATACTTTGTTATGTTTGCCCTTGTCAAAAAATCCTTTTTATAACAATATCAGGGATTTTCTTCAATGGTAAATAATTTTTAAAAATTACTAGTCATTGAATATCTTCTGTGGGCCAGGTATTATTTAGGCACTAAATCTCTAATAGTTACACAATATTTATAATCCATCCTGTATATATTTCCCCTCAGGAAAACTGAAGCTCAGAGAAGTTGTGCACTTTGTTTAAATTCTCACATGGCTGAATGGCCGAGTCCTGACTCAAACTCAGGTCAAGTAAATCGTCACAGAATGTGAGATTGCCTCTTACAGTTTGTGTGAAGAAAAACGTTCTTGTCTGGATTCTTCAAAACGAACGCCATCTGCAATTTTGGTGTGTGTGTGTGTGTGTGTGTGTGTGTGTGTGTGTGTAAAATAAAAATAAAAGAAGTGAATCATAATGAAAAGTTGAGGAGCCTGAGGCCCTGGCGTGGCCAGGGAACAGACTAGATTAGGTTGAGAAGTTTTGTTAGGTGCAGAGAAAGAGTGTAAGCGCATTGTTCAGCAACAAAGAAGAAACTGGGTCTTTCTTAAGCGAGGAAAGGAAGAGGATTTCAGAGAGGGGAGCTCAGCATGGAAAAGCCTCAAAATCCAAACGGGGAGTTGGGTGGGGCTCATATATCAAAGCTAAGAGGACAGACAGGGGAGGTCAGCTGGGGCTGCTTCACAGAGAAGCATGAAAAACGCAAACAGAAGGCACCTGCCTATTGCTTTAAAGAGCAAAAATAACCCAAACCTAAACCTAAAACTCCGCTCCACCCCCAAGCCGGCAGTGGGAAGGAACTGTACCCACAATTGAAAAGGCAACGTGGACGCCGCACTTCCGGCCGCGAGCGTTCAGTGCGATTAATTAAGGTCAAGGTGACGACGCAAAAGCCAGCTGGGGAGCATTTCGCCCAGAGATAAATTCGTCCCTCTGTATCTCTGCGAGACAGCAGGGAGGTGAGCGTTTGGAGCTAAATTAATTTGATTTACATCACGCCACGGTAACTTCTGTTCTCTCTCCCTGCTGTCAGATGTCTCCGCTGGCATTTTCTCGCTTCTTCTCCCCCACGCCCCACACTGCACACCACGGAGAGCGCGCGGTTGGCTGCAGGCAGAATTCAGCAGTGGAATCTTTCCGATTTGACTGTTGTGCACCGAGCGCTGTGCTTTCTCCCTGCACCCCACCCCCACCCCTTTCTCGAGGAAGAGAAGTTGTGAACCCGAGCACAAGTGTGACTTGTTTCTGGGTCGTGCTTCAAGGCCCGAACCGCTCGACGGTCGGAGCTAGCTCCCCGCGGCCAGGCCGCCGGCTCCGCGGCCCCTGCGCGTGTCCTCGGCGAGGCTGGCCCCAGGGC